ACAGGCCTGTGCTAACAAACTGCCTTGAGAAGATAATTTTTTTCCCAAGGAAAGTGTAACTGAGGAAGGAGACCAGAAGATGCACTGTCATTTGTACCCTAAGACCTTGATGATTTTGTTCATCCAGAATAAGAATAAAAGACTGAATTTGTGGTTTTTCTTACTTGTTTTGTGGGTCCTCAGCTCTTTAAACAAAATTGGATCTAGTAAAAACGTTACAGAACTAGCCTGAACTATCATCGAGAGGTGGACTTTTATAAGTTGCATTTCTGCCCTCTAAGTGCAAGGGAATGAGGTTAATCTAGAAGAAGTGGATAAAATAAGACATTCATAATTCTCATTCCCTGGTCTGGCAAAATATCTTTTTTATTTTATTTTATTTGAGTGCTGGGGATGAAACCCAGAGCTTTCTGCACTCTAGGCCAGCGCTCTACTACATCCTAGCCCCCAAACTAATTTTGATGGTGTTCCTGAGCTCTTCTGGTTCAGTCTTGAGGTTATCAGATTTCAAGAAACTTTGAAGCCACACCTGTTTTTCTCTAATCAGTTCCTTTATCTCCTAATCCTTCCTCCCGCACCTGTCATTACCACAGTTTTATTGACTGATGACACACACACACACCAGAGTTCTTGGCACATAGCAAATGCTCAATAGAGTTACTGAACTGGTGACCTCATCTGTTCTTCCCGCCACAAAATTTTCCCAAATTCTTCACTGAGATGAGGTGTCTCCTTCTTTTACTGCCGATTCCCGTTACCACTTGGGGAGCACTAATATGAGCGATCACATTGTGCATTTTTTTTTCGGGTTTTGAAGACAAAGTTTCTCTGTGTAACAGCCTGGCTGTCCTGGAACTTGCTTTGTAGACTAGGCTAGCCTCGAACTCAGAGATACACCTGCTTCTGCCTCCAAAGTGCTGGGATTAAAGGCATGTGCCACCACTGCCCGGCTTGCACTGTGCATTAAAAAAAAAAAAAATGCCCTGCCTATTCTTTAACATAAGAGTTCCTAATTTTAAATTTACACTCCCCAAATACTTCCTAATTTTACTTGTGTTCTTTCCACCTCCAAGCATTTGTCAGCCTAGTGTTCCCCACAAAACCCAGCAAAAGCTTATGCCTCAAATCTGCGGAGGCTAAAAGGCTGGTGATGATGGATGTTGAAGAAACTACTCATCCATCTCAATGTGGCACTCATGCTGCTTGCTCTTCAATTGCCCATCATCACTTCATTCAAAGGCAGTGATTATTCATTCATGGAGCGTTTGCTGAGCCTCCACTAAGAGCCAGTCACCGTGCTAGGTGCTCTGGAAGATATACAAAGATGAATAAGATGCTTTCTCTGATTTCGGTAGCAATTACTGAAGTAAGATTCATAAGCAATTAATCATGCACTGCCTTGTGATATCTCTTATACTAGCTGGAAAGCATTTTTTAAATACTGCTGTGTGATTTGCCTTTTCACTTGTTAATGTTTTTGTTCTGCAAATAAATGTCTATGTGATAAGCACCATCTTGGCAGCTCAAACAAATGATCATCAAATGATAGTATCTGCCATCAAAGCAGGTCAGACTGCAATACAGAAGAGGAACTGGGATTAGGTAGCAAGTATGATGTAACGTACCAAATGCTATGGGAATCCCAAAGAAGGGGTGCTCAACTGCCCAAGAGCATGATGCAAATTCTCACTGAAGATGGGTGATTCAGCTAGCCTAGGAAGGACAGAATTAAAGCAAGGAGGTGAAGCAGGGCATTCTAGATAAAGGAATACCAAAGGCAAAGGCTTAGGGCTGGTGAAGTAGCTATGTGGCAAGGTGCTTGCCTAGCACATAGATGGTTCTAGGGTCCATGCCCAGCACTGCATAGGTTACAGAGGCGTAAGGAACATGATGTATATTTAAGCGAAGGCAGAACACAGATATTAGTGACAGGTAAATGTTCTAGTTTGCTGTCTGCTGCTGTGTTAAATACCATGACCAACTTGGGGGAGGAAAGGGTTTATTTGGCTTACATTTCCAAGTCTCAGTCTATCATTGCTGGGAGTCAGGGCAAGAGCTCAAGCAGGAACCTGGGAGGCAAGTCGCTTCTTCAGCCTGCTTTTTCACACATCCCAGGATCACCTGCCCGGGGTAGCACTTTCTCTACGGGCTTGGTCCTCCCACATCAATCAGGAATCAGAGAAAATGTCCCACAGACACACCCACAGGCCAATCTAATGGAGGCAATTCCTTAATTGAGGGTTCCTCTTGCCAAGAGTTTCTAGTTTGTGTCAAGTGGACAAAAAACTAACTTGCACAGTAAAGTCGGGTCTGATTGTGCAGTGCATAGTCATTACGATGGTTTGAATAAGAACGGCCCCCATAGGCTCACACGTTTGAATGCTTGGTCACCAGGGAGTGGAACTGTTTGAAAGGATTGCAAAGACTAGGAGGTGTGGCCTTTTAGGAGGAAGCACGTCTCTGGGGGTGGGGCTTTGAGACTTCAAAAGTCCATGCCAGACCTAGTCTCACTCTGTCTGCTTGGAGGTCAAGATGTGCCTCCCAGCTACAGTTTCAGTACCATACTTGCTGCCATGTCCCCTGCCATGGTGATAATGGACTGACCCTCTGAACCTGTGAGCCAGCCTCCCAGCCCCTAGTTAATGCTCTCTTTTATAAGGGTTGCTTTGGTCACGGTGTCTCTCTTCACAGCCGCAGAACAGTGACTAAGACAGTCACAGTCTAAGGAAGTTGACTGTACCCCTCAGCAAGGGCATTACTCTCCCCTCTCATTACAGATGTGGTGCACACGTATTAGAAGAAACATCCCAACAGGGCTGAGATGTGACTCAGTTGGTAAACTGCTTGTCTGAGGATTTGGGTTCAGACCCCAAGAACCCACACAAAAAGTGGAGACAGAAGGATTCCGGGGACTTGCTGGCCAGCCAGTCTAGCAGAACACGTGAGCTTCAGGCTCAGTGAGAGATGTTGCCTCAAAAAATATGTGGACAGTGGCTGAGGAAGACATCCCTGTCAATATCTGGCCTCAACAAACACACACACCCACACCCCCCCCCCACACCCCCCCCACACACACAGAAACTTCCAAACATGTAGAAACTTCCAAACATGTATACAAATTTCAAAGAGAATTACTCTGGTAATGGTTTGAGTTTTAACCATTTAAGACTGTTTTCTGGGGCTGGAGAGATGGCTTAGTGATTAAGAGCAAGAGGACCTGGGTTCGATTCCCAGCACCCACATGGCAGTTCACAACTGTCCATAACTCCAGTTCCAGGAGATCTGACACCCTCACACAGACATACATGCAAAACACCACATAAAATAAGAATATATATATATATATATATATATATATATATATATATATATATATTTAAAAGATTGTTTTCTAGTCAATACTGTGGTGGCATGTGCCTTTAATCCCAGCACTTGGAGGATAGCCAAGGCTATACACAGAGAAACCCTGTCTCAAAAAACCAAAAAACCAAACAAACCAAAAACAAAACCCCCCAAAAATGCTTTCTACAGGTAAACTAGCATGTTATCATTTAAAATGGAACAAGCTATTTCTCTAAGTACTTCTTGGTTATCATTTCATGCCAGTGAGTGCACATCTGATCTACCTTTGAAAGAGCTGTATGATTGTCAGTACATGAGCAGTTACACAAATAAACAAACAAATGAAAAACTAAAGAAGCCAACTGGGTCTGGTCCTGCAGCAAGTCACCCAACCCGGGCTTCAGTTACTTTTCTGTAATGTTAACACACTGAAGGTAACTGTTGCCTGGGGTCTGTCTGAGTATCAAGTAGTGCTTGGCAGATGAAATCCTCAGTGATGATTCCATGATTTACTTATTCACTATTCAGGGTGTGTTTTGGACAAAGTGATGTAATCTGATTTCTTTGTAGGGAATTACTCTGGCACTCTGTGGGAATGAAGGGAAGGAAGATTGTTAGTGAGACCTTGTTTAGACTTCTGCACAGTATGGTGGTATGGAATACTGGCTGTTGAGATATTACATGACCAAATGCTAGGCTCTACCCAGTACTGATGGGTGAGACAATCTCCCTCCAAAGTCCCACATTTAGAGGACGGTTCTGTTCATTTCACAGGTTTTCCTGAGTCCTTGATATGTTTTGGTTTGAGATGGGGGCCTTGCTATGTAGCCTGGCTGGTCTGGGCTGGGTCTGTAGACAAGGTTGGTTCCGGTTTTTCAGCAATTCTGCTCTGTCCCTCAAGTGCTGGGATCACAGGCCTGCACCACCATGACCTCCTTGACTTTTTTTTTTTTCTTGTTTTGTCTCACACTGTAACCCAAGCAAGCACTGAATATGCAACAATCAGTCCAGCTTCCTGAGTGCTGAGGTTACAGGAGATACCAAACCTAGCTCCTTACTACCGGTTTAGCTACGGAAAATAAGAACAAGCAAGTGATTGGCTCTCTGAGGCGCTTCCATTCCAGGACACATTTATGACCGAAGATGATGGGAGAAAAAACAATACGGAGGCCAACAAATGAACAAGAACGTCAACTTAGCCCACATCTCCTGATTGAACATAAGTTCCATCAGCACTCGGTGATGCTGAAACACCCAACACACCCTGGACAAGTTTAATGATCATCTTCCATAATGAAGCTTGGGAGCTCCTTCTCTGGGCTAAATGGAAAAGGGGTGTTCGCGTTGAGCCTCAGGCCCTTGGTGAGATGACCCGCCCCGCCCCACTTCGCAGTCACGGCCAGCTAGGAAGCCAAGGTTACGGCCCAGGAGGCTTCGGCTTGACAGCGCGAGGACTCAGGCCGAGGCTGAAGCAGAGCGATCGGCTGCACACCGGTTCCGGAACCCTTCAGCCCCACGGCCTGCGCGCGCCGGCGGCGGTTGCGGCCCCGCGTCGGGAGGACTTCCGGCGTGTGCCGGGGTGGCCGGATGACGTGGCTGAGTCAGAGGAAGAGGCTCGGAGGCCGGGGGGCGGGGGCGGCGCGGAGCGGGCGGTGACGGCGGCGGAGGCAGCGGCTGGGCCCGGGCCCCGTGCGTCTGTCCGCGCCCGGTGGATGTGAATCGGCGGCGGCGGCGGCGGCGGCGGAGGAGGAGGAGTCGGTGGGCCGGCGCCCGGCCTGTGGGAGCGCGGAGGATGAGGCCGCTGCCGGGCGCTCCTGGCGTGGCGGCGGCCGCCGCGTTGTTGCTGCTGCTGCTGCCCCGGGCTCGGTCTGACGAGCACGAACACACGGTGAGGCGAAGCGAGCCGCGCGGTCGCCCCCGGCCCGCTCCCCCGCTTGCCGCCCCCGCCAGGCCCGGTGCGGCCTGGAGGCCCGGTGCAGCCCCGCGGCCGCCCGAGCGCTCCTTCCGGTCGGGCATGGCGGGGCCGGATCCGCGGGAGCTGGGAGGAAGCATTTTCGTGCACTCCCGGCTGCCTGGGCCTTGCTCCTCGGCTCCGCCTCTCGGGGCTGGGGCCCGGGGGTCGCCCAGTAACGGGCTCTGGAGCCGGGAGACCGGACGCTGTGGGACACAACACGGCGGAAGATGGATGCACCGTGTTCACCAGGCGCTTGCCAACCAGGAAATACCCATCACTTCATGGCCCGCTCCGGCCTTTTCCCACCCTTCTCTGTCGGAACCGGATTGAAACGGTGGGGTGGGGGGACAGCTTCAGTGAACCGGAGGTGTGAGCGGTTTACACGTAGACACGTCTTCACCTTGCACGCACTAGGTCCCAGGCCTTTCCTGTAACTTTGTCCGCGCTCCGCCAGTCCCCAGAGGACGTCGGGTCCCGGTGGTCGGCCTCTAACTGGGCCAGCTCTGACCCCAGGGGCCCGAGTCACCCAGCCCTCAGGCCACACCCCCACTCACTTTTGCATTTGGTCTGAAGTTGATTGGCGGCTTATTTAATTGTATTTCCACATCAAAGCTTGGATTTAATGACTCTTGGAGTGACTTTCACCTAGAGCTGTAACGCTCTGGCTTTCTGTTTTTGTTTTTTTTTTTTCCCCCCAGAATGATAGACGCGGGAAGCAAGGAAAGTTAGATAAATCTACAAGGTTGCTTGGCGAATAATTGTTTTTATTTTTATTGATAGAATTTTTGCCTGAGAAGTTGTGTGTTTACTAAATTTGAAAGATACGGAGAATGTCGGGTTGTAGCTGATCGGTGGGGAAGTGAGGGCATTCTCATTTAAAGGGCCAGACTTTAAGGTGTTGTTTGTAGTTAACAAAACTTTGTTCTGTGGCCTGGATTAGCTGACATCTTATTTTAGCCAGAATCCAATTGTGTGTATATGTAAGTTTTTTCAGAGAAACACTGAACTGGTAACTTTGTGTGTGTGTGTGTGTGTGTGTGTGTGTGTGTAGTATACAGAGACTATGTATAGACTAGAATGATTTGATTTCTTTTCAATACCCAGCAAGTATCGTTTTGTTCAGTAGTTTAAATAGTATTTGATAATTTTTTAGTACTTCAGTTCCTATGTAAAATCCTGAAGTTTTATTAGTTCCGCCATATAGACTTACAGATTTATATTCTACTTTTTAAATCTTGTATTTTATACCCCTATGAGGAGGGAGGCTGTAGTTTATAACTTAATAAATTGTAAGTGTACAAAAACTAGCATAATTCACAAATTTAATATGTAAGTGGCAGTTTCCATGATAAACATTTTAAAGTTTATTTATTTTTATTTTATGTGACCGTTTTGCCCGAATAAAGGTATGTGCATCACGTATGTGCCGAGTGTCTTAGAGGCCAGAAGAGGGTGTCAGCGCTGGAGTTACAGTGAATGCTGAGAACCAAACCTGGGGGCCCTGCAAGAGCAACAAGTGCTCTGAACTGCCAAATTCGATCAAATACTGCTAGGAATGTCATTTATTTACTTCATTCATTCATTCATTCCCTGGGATTGAACCCAGGCCCTTGTGTGTTGTAGGTACATACTCCACCACTGAATGGAATGTTTCTTTTTTTGAGACAGGGTTTATTTGTGGTCCCTGACTGTCCTGGAACTGGCTCTGTAGACCAGGCTGGCCTTGAATTCAAGAGATCCACCTGCCTCTGCCTCCCAGTGCTGAGATTAAAGATGTGCACTATCACGTCTGACTACACCTGGAATGTTTTAATTTTTATGCATATAAAATATTTGATAAAAGGAGATATCCCACCCCTCACCCTTCACACCCCCCCCCCCCCCCCCCCCCCGTACTGGGCCTGAAAGACATGGCTTCACAAATGCCAAGCAAGGCTGTATCTCTGATCTGCACTTTTGTCCCAAAAGGACTTAGTGTGAAGATGATATGGCACATGTGAGATGGTTTGTGGACAAAAATTGAGAGTGAACATTAATTCATTGCATGTCTACATTGAACAGATCCTTTACTCTTTCTAAGTTTCTTAAATAATTTATTTGTTTTTATTTTATATGCATTGGTGTTTTGCCTACATGTATGTCTGTGTAAGGGTTTCGGGTGCCCTAGAACTGGAGTTACAGACAGTTGTGAGCTGCCATGTGGGCGCTGGGAATTGAACTCAGGTCCTCTGGAAGAGCAGCCACTGCTCTTAACCACTGAGCTATTTCTCCAGCCCCTTTCTAAGTTTCTTATAAATATTTCTTGAAACATAGATCTTCACCTTGGCTGGCTAATAGGGCTCTCTCTAATCAAGTGATTTTTTTTTTTTAATTTATTTATTCCAAGAAGGCAGAAGTAGCTAGTGAAGAGAGAATTGATATTTTGGGAAGAGACAAATTGTCAAGGGAAGATTGCTGAGTGGGTGTTTAAAAAAACACTGTGGGATTGAATTATTAATTAAAAATATCTTTCAGAAGCTAAAGCTTGCCCCTTAGACCATTTCCTTTTAAGACAGCACAGATGTAATACTAATACAATTTGGAATAGTATGTGCTTAGTCCTGTTGTAAGTGCTCTCTCTACATTAACTCACAGTAAGTGTATGTATATTGCTTGTGGTGTGCAAGGCCCCAGTTTGAAATCACAGAACCCCCAAATAAATAACCTTGGGAGGCAGATGATGCACCCTTCTAATAGATAAGGAAAGAGGACTAGAGAGGTGGTCATGTGTAGGAGGTTGTACCCAGTAGAGATAGAGGTGGGATTTGATTCCACACATTCTACAAGTAAATAAGTCTTGAAAACAAATTGTCTGTGTTTTTGTATATGGGTATGGTGTGTGTGTGTGTGTGTGTGTGTGTGTGTGTGTGTGTGTGTGTGTGTGTGTGTGTATGTATGTGTGTACGTGTGTGAGCATGCGTGTGGAGGTCAGAGGTTAGTATTAAGTGTATCCTCAGTTGCTCTCCACCTTTTTTTTTTTTTTTTTTAAGTAGTTACCTCACTGGTCCTCAAGCTCACTCAGTAGGCTGGACTGTCTAGTCAGCAAGCCCCAGGGACCCTCCTGTCTCTCCCTCCCAAGTGCTGGTATTGCAAGTGTTACCACCTCCTCTGGTTTCTTATGTGGGTGAAGGACTTTACCAACTGAGCCATCTTCCTCGGCCATGTTAACGTCTTTAGTCGACTCAGGTGATGTCTCTGTAGCTCATTTTCTTTAAAACAGGACTGTAAAACACTTTTAGGTGCATGAAGAAACGTTTGGATGAGCCGAGGTCCATGCTGTATTGTTACTGAGAGGTTTGTACTAGTGTTAGAAGGAATAGGGCCCGCTCGTGGGCACAGTGGGCAGGTAGCATGAGCAGTCATGCAGGACTCTTCCCTTTTGTTTCATTGCCCACTCATCACCATCTTGAAATTACTTTTGAACAAAAGGTCCTACCTATTTCTTTCTTAATGCTTTTTAAATACTTTTATTTGTAAAAATTTGTTATTTATGCACATGTGTCTGTGTCAGAGTGTGTTCATGTGTGCATTTGCCCTTGGAGGCCATAGGAGGGTGTTGGATCCCTTGGAACTGGAGTTCCAGGTGGTGGTGAGCCAAACCGTGGTCCTCTGGAAGATAACTAGCACTCTTAACTGCTTGGCCATCTCTCTAGCCCTTTGCTGTTGATTTTTGGGGGGACGAAGTCTCAGTGTTGGCCAAGCTGGTCAGGAATTCTTGGCTGAGTTCAAGTGATTCTCCTGCTTTCTGAATAGCTGGGGCGATTAGCATGCATCGTTATTTCTGGTTAGATACTTTTATTTTGTAATGGGTCCCCCAAATTAGTAGCTGGTTCTAAGAAGGAATGACTACTTCTTACTATCCCCAAAAGTCCTCCCCCCCCTTTTCTGTATCTACTACTTAACTAGGATTTAGCTTGCCATTTGATCCATATAGTATTCTTTAGGGTTTTGGTTTTTTTTAAGTTTTTACATCTACTTGTTAATTTTTTTCTGTGGTTTGGGCTGGTGAGAGTGCATGTGCCACAGTGGGCATGTGGAGGTCAGGGGAGAGCTTGTGGGCGATGGCTCTTCTGCCGTGTAGACTTGGAACTGACATTCAGGCTGTCAGGGTTAGCAGCAAGTACCTCTGCCTACCCACTGAGCCCCTCCCCTGTGTTCTTTGTGGGCTGATTTGTCCAAAGTTCTTCTGACATTCCTAGAAAAATAAATGAGAAGAGAATGTGCTGTCAACTTCTGGAGTATGTGCTACTTTTAGTTTTTAAAAGTTGGACTGTAGATTATAGGACATACTGTTTGAAATGAAAACTAATGAATACTTCCACTCACTGAACACAGTCTCTTACTACATGATTGTAGGGTCACCAAAAGGTCTCTTTAAAGCCAGACATAGTGGTACACACCTTTAATCCTAGCACTGGGAGACAGGCAGGTAGACCTCTGTGAGTTCCAGGCCAGCCAGGACTACATAATGAGGACCTCCCCCCTACCCCCACCCGGCCCCCCCACCCTTTTTTAAAGGTCTTTAAGTGAAGGGAGTAAGGATCACTCAGTGGGTGAAAAGCACTTAGGATTTTTATGGGTTCTGTTTCTCAGCATGATCACAAAGTTGTGTCTTGTCATTTGTGTTCCTCCCCTTCCTTCACACCTGCTACATATATAGTGTGGCACTGTGCTTAGTCCTGGGAGTACTTAGCTAGTGTCTATTGAGTGACTTGAGTGAGTAAGTAACCATTAGGGACAAAGATACTCAGTGATGGAAGCATGAAGCTTGCTTAAAGCACAGTGAACAAAACCAGACCATTCCTCATGTAAGGTCATAATCTTAGGCATACATCTTTAGGACCTCTTGGGACCCCATTTCTTTGTAGTCCTTTGTAATTGTAGTTTCAGGACTT